CGGAGAAAAGGTGGCGGAACTCAAACCTGGCCACGCCCTCATCAAACCCTAGGACCGCCCCTTTAGAGAACAGGAATGCAAGTAAAATTTGGGAGGGGCTATTTCCGGTGTGGGAGGGGCTATTTCCGGTGCGGCCGGCCCGGAAAAAGGTGCCGGAACGCGGTTCCGCCGCGTTCCGGCTGAAAAAAAGCCCTGCTGTCAGGTAATCTGAGAGCAATACTGTTGCCCATGATCCTGACAGAAATATACACATAACAGAACCACTAAAAAGCTGTTAAAGAGGGTTATCAATAGTACATTGCCTAGGTAAAATTTAAATTGTCCTCACCATTTATAGAAACATCAAGGAACCCCTCCCCTGCTAAATTTTAAGCAAGTAAATGGCAAGGACCTCAGTGAGTTCCTTTTGATTTACATGGAGCCTGGAAAAATTGATTCCTGACATAAACTGTTTGTAGAATGTATGTGACTGTCAAATTAATTGTTTCTGTAATATGCATTCAGGTATAATATTGGAATTCAGGTATATTATTCAGATATAATAATAATATTATATTATTATTCGAAAACAATTTCAAAACATATGGAACACTACTTAAAAACCATCAGCATTGACAAAATCACCATCAGTCAATTGCAAAAAGTATCTTTACTTGGAACAGTTTACTTCTTGAGACAATAGCTTTAACACCATCAAACATCAACATCTGCCTATCCCAGGTCCTTGGGAAAAACTTGATCAGTGGATAAAAATAAATCCAGTCTAAACATTTAGTTGTCTGTATGAACGATATTTAATATATTAAATTTATATACCACCTGATTCCAAGTGACTCTGAATGTATTCCAATATTCAAATTCGATTACAAGAAAATGACAGTGATTACATATAAAATCTAAAGCAATTATATTAAAAAACAATAAAAACTAAAAAAACGTAATTATGTAATTTTTTATGTATCTGTAACTTTCAAAGAAAAAAACATGAAATGGAATGTCCCTCAGTTTATGTTTNCATTCAATGGGTAGTCCTTAATGGAACTACATAACATGGAGGGAAGTAAGCAGTAGGGTACCCAAGATTCCATTTTAGGCCCAATGCTCTTCACCATCTTCATAAATGATTTAGATGGAGGAATAGAAGGGGAACTCATCAAATTTGCAGACACCAAACGGGCAGGAATATCCAACACCCCAGAAGATAGGCTCAAAATCCAGACGGATCTTGGCAGACTTGAACACTGGGCCTATCTAACAAAATGAAATTCAATGTAGAGAAAAGTAAGGTTTTAGACTTAGGCAAGAAAAACCAAATGTACAGGTACAGATTATGTGAAACCTGGCTCAAAAGTAGTAACTGTGCGAGGAATCTTGGAGTCCCAGTGGACAATCACTTAAATATGGGCCAGCAGTGTGCGGCAGCAGCCAAAAAAGCCAATGCAGAGGGATAGAATCAAGTTCATGTGAAGTTTAGTACTGTTTTATAAAGCCTTAGTAAGACCACACTTAGAATACTGCATCCGGTTTTGGTCACCATATTATAAAAAAGATATAGAGACTCTGAAAAGAGTGCATAAAAGAGCAACAAAAAAGATTAGGAGGCTGGAGGCTAAAATACATGAAGAGGCTTGTAGGAATTGGGTATGTCTAGTCAAGACAATAGAAGAACTAGGAGTGACATGACAGCAGTATTATAGTATTTGAGGGGCTGCCACAAAAAAGAGGTGTTAAATCTATTTTCCAAAGCACCAAAAGGTAAAACAAGAAACAATGGATGGAAAAAGGAGAGAAGCAACCTAGAACTGAGGAGAAATTTCCTAACAGTGAGAACAATTAAAACCAGTGGAACGCCTTAACTTTGGAAGTTGTGGGTACTCCATCACTTTTAAGAAGAGTCTGGACAGCCACTTGGACCTGTTTCCCACCGAAAACAAAACACTGGGAGTCGCAAAAAGGGTCTCTGTGTCTCTCTCTCCCTCCCTCCCTTTCTGCCCTTGGTCTGCCAGTTCTCTTCCTCCACTCTCTTTCTTTCTCTCTCCCTCTCTCCGATCTTCTGCTCACCTGGCAAGCTGAGTTCAAGCTGTTCTCCAACAAGCTCAGGGGTAGGCAACCTCAGCTCTTTTATGACTCATGGACTTCAACTCCCAGAATTCCTGAGTCAGCATAGCTGGGCTAGCTAGCTCTCTCCTGCCCTTCCTGCTTCCTGTTTCCTGCTTCCTGCTGAGACGCAGCAAAGGGAGGAGCTCCGCCCAGTAAGCTTTTCAGCTGGTCGGAGAACATCGTGAGTCCACTCTTTTTTACACACACACAGACACACAAAAAAAACACAGAGACAGAGAAAGACAGAGAGAGAAGCAGGGAAACGCAAGTGCCTCTCTCTCTCTCTGCAAATGGCAGAGGAGGCTGGGAGTCACAGGGGAAGGCTCAAAGAGCCGCATGCGGCTCCGGAGCCGCAGGTTGCCGACCTGTGGTATAGGGTGTCCTGCTTGAGCAGGGAGTTGGACTAGAAGATCTCCAAGACCTTCTTCCAATTCTGTTATTCTGTTCTGTTATTCTGCTTTACAGCATTTCCTAATGTCTAAACATTAAATAAACATCATTAGCAGAATGGGATCAATTACTATAGCTTGCAAGATGATCTAAAGATTCAACTGTACCAAAACCAATAGTCCCCTTAATTTTAAATAATAAGGCATGCCAATATATTGTTAAATAGTTCTAAATACTAGATATTACAGTATATATAAAATAGCAAGGAACTACTAGACAGTGGATTCATTCCTAGAAAGATCTGAAAGAACATTTTTATGTATGGAAATCTGCAATCAAAAAAATATTTTTTGAAATTATGGAATGAACAAGATATTATCACTTTACCTTCAATGATTTACCATTCTAGATCTGGTCATTGTACCAAATAAATGATGTTTATAAAGCTACACCTGTAGAGTGTAGCAAAGTAATGTGATGGAACTTTGGGTGAAGCTGAAAATTGAATCATGTTTGAGGCGATAGTGGATGCTTCACCAGTGGAAGCATCAGGGTTGTGAATCACCTTGACTCCACATAGGAGTTGGAGAACTCGGGGTGAAGATTTGAGCAAGAAAAGAGATTCAAGATTAGCAGTCTCTCTTTATGGAAGGAAGATTATAAAATTGTTGCTGCTGTTTCTTGGGATTACAGATGTATAACAATTTAGTATCCTTATGCTGGATACTTTAAATAGAAAATTGCTATATTTTTCCATAAACCATGTATTTTTATTGGCTGAAATCCCAAAATGAAAGTGATCATCTTGACTGAAATCACTTTTTAGGATAGATGGGTTGGAAGTTTCACTAGCAATTTGGATCTGCTTTGTAATAATCTGTGTTGGTTTAGTGGCAAACAGAGTCCAAAAATAGCATTGAAATGTGGATAGCATGCCATGGGTGCTGTCAAAAACAGCTGTCAGGTTGTGAAAATGAGTAGCCACTAAAAGAATAAATAAAATAATATGAGTTATCAAACTGATGAAATTGTTCCTTGCCATTCCCTATAACTACCTAGTATGTTATGGCAGTTTTTCTTCAACCTTTTTCTGGGTAAATACAGTAGGCAAACCTTCAAATAAAGCAGGCGGCTAATATCAACCACATTTTAATGTTTCAAGATTGCTTATGTGCTCACTGTGGAACCCAGAGGGATTCTTGTACATAAAGTTTTGCAAGAGGCTGTCACTTCATTTTGCAGATACCAGTATTCCTTTTTTTGGAAAAAATATATATTAATAGGAGTCTCAACAAACTTAATGGTAATAGACCCCAAGCGAAATGCCCATCCCTAAACTAGAATAAGGTTTTTTTGGTCATGTTCTGGTGGACAAATATCTTTCTACATGCTTATTTGCTAATTGTTGTTGTTGTAATAGTAAGATACTTTGCCACAGACAAAGTTCAAGTTATTCCTGTCTTTCTTGCAGTTGGTTCTGCAGTGGTCCCCAATCTTTATGGCTTTGAAGCTTGGCAGGAGTGGAGGGGGAACCAGACCACACAAGTGGAAGGCCAGTTCCAAACATGCCATGGTTTGGTAGTGAGCCGTGGCCGGAGGAGGGTTGGGGGCCCCTCGGTGACTGCATTTCCATGCTACGTTTCCTTATCTGCATCAATGACTTAAAATAGTATATATTGCTAAGGGACATGGACTTACATTGATACATCTAGATTTTAAGAGAAAGTGGAAAAAATTAGATTTAGACATACTTGAATGTTACTTTGTTGTTAATGCACTATTTTTCCTTCCATATTGTCATTTGCCCTACCTTGCATATGTTGGGGAGAAGAATACAGTATTTCACCGATGTACAAATTTGGATCACAAATCCCTATTTATGCTAGCAAGCCTGTACCACTTCACTATGTGTCTCTCTTAAGCAATATATATATAGTATTGTGCTATGTATCACTTCATGGTAGCTAATTTTTCTCCCAATCTATTTTGCTGAACTTTTCATTCTGCCTGATGTCCCACCTCTTACACATACAATAGCTCTGCATATATCGCTTGTTTCAATTAGGATTTACTCTAAAGAAAAGCTTCAAACACACGGTTCACATGCTGTCACATGCTCCCAAGCCCTTATAGGACTATCGTAAATTTGCAAAATTCTGAGGAAAATGTAGCATTGCTGTGTGCCAGAGAGGACAAATGTATAATTTAGAAATTGATTTTATCAACATTTAAATTCTAATGCTGAGAAACATCAGTCCTATTCAGGTCAAGAAGGCTCAGAAATACTGGCGAGACTTAGTGACCAATTGCATTTTAGGCCTGACATTTGAAGAAATTATTAATCCTTTCTAAACAATGTTTTTTTCCCCACATTAGAAAACCATCATCAGGAGGGATCCTTAAAGACCAGTCCAAAGTCCAGTTAAATCCTTCAAATAGTTCTAGGTAAGTTTCTTGTGCTTGGAGATCAAAAGCAAGGGATGTGCAAGATATAAAACCTTATGTGTATGCTGGGAATTTTAAATTGTTTTCGGTCAGTATTTTTCAGGGCACATGATCAAACAAGATATTCTTTTTTCCATTCTTGACACATCTCTGTCAGTCTGTATGTCCAGAAAGGATGTGATGCCACAATCAATCTGAAGTCCATTACATATAAAGATACATGCACATGGGTGCAGATCACCAGTTGCTGAAAAATATATTACCGTTTACAAAATTGCCTGCTATGCTGCTTATTCCTAGCACCCTTTCCAATATACAAACTCAGGGCAATCTACTTAAATTATCTCTATTGCAAACTTGTTCCAGTATACTCTGTTTACTATGTCAGCCCAATGATATGTACACAAATTTGAGAAATTCCGCTGGTACTATTTCCTCTTAAATATTCTTAATACTTTATCAGAATTTTCCCCATTTTACTCAGATCTGATACTATATTAATTGAAGCCAGGCCAATTTGTCCCGCTATTCAGGATCCATTTTTAAACTTGCTTTGGAAGCCAATTGGAGGAACAAATGTAATAGTGAAAGCAACAAAGTAATGACAGTGCCCTTCAATATGCTCTTAATTATTTCTGCAGAAGTGGTTGCAGATGAGTATTTCTTTTTGTGTTGTTGCTGGCACGTTCAAGGAATTTTAGGAAGAGTCTGGACACCATAATCTTTCTGTATTTTCATTCTTTTCTCTTTTTCTCCATAAAAAAAGTCTGTTAAGGAGAGAAGGGTAAACTATCAGCACAAGGCCTTTTATAGGTACTTCCTATTGTATTTTAATTATTATGTATTTAATTTTTTTATTTCTTTGGAGGAAGTTTCCATGATTCTTTGATTTTTCTGTGATGAAATCCTTATAAGCATTCTCTTATGAATTTCTGAAATACATGTCTTTTCTATTTTTATGTAGAAGGTCCTGGTTTTGACAGGAGTCCCTAAGCAAAACAGTTTTGTTGCCATGGTATTTTAAATAACATTAAGTTTTCTTTCCAGAATGAGATTTTCACCTTAGAATAAACCTCTTAATACAGCTGCACAATCCTCAGAAGGCCACTAAAGCCTGTCGTACAATGCTTAAGATGAATAGATGTTCTAAGCGAGATGCTAGCTATCTCTCAAATTATTCCACCAACCATCCTATGCTCTTGCTTATCCTTCCAGAATGTGAAATTAAATTAGTTTCCTGCAATGCTGAAGAAAGCATTAGTAATGACTGAACTCTAGAATCAGGAAAAAACATCTTCAACAAAAATGTTAAGCAGATTCTTATGCAATCTTCTGATGGAATTTGTTGCAATTCAAAAATGACACATTTATGGTAGGATGAGAGAAAACAGATTTCATATCTTATTAGGAAAAAACAATGAAGCACTACAGTATTTATTTTTTATAGTATGTCCTTTTAAAAAATTGATTGACAGGATACATACCAAGTTTGCTTTTGTAGAGAATAATTTGCTTACCAAAGTGTAATTTGGGGTAATTTATATCAGATGTTCTTTTTATGTATTCTGTTAAGTTTTCCTTTCCAAATTGACATTCAGATGTAAGTGTTCTTTCTAGTTTTATGCCGAGATCAGTTTTTTGACACATGCCTTTATCTCCTTGGTAGTCTAAATAATCTTATTTTTTCCTTCCAGAGTGAAATTTTCCACCAAAACCTATGTGCAACCATTAAGAAGCCGAGAGCCTCAAGACGTAAGTAAAATATATTATTTGTTATTTTTTGCATGCATTTCGTTGGTACGTGAAATATGAATGTTTTAATCCATCTTTTTCCAAACTACTGTCCTCTAGATGTGTGGGTTTGCACATTTCACAATGATTAGTCAGAATGAGATTATGGCAGTCATACTTTTACATATCCGGAGGATGCCAAGTTAAGGAAGGTTATTTTAATCATTTCCTTTTCTCCATCCCTATAATATCCTTGTCTTGAAAAGTAAAAACCTTGTACCAATTTCAGTGAAGTAGAAGCTTAAGGGAAAAATTCCTTACCCCATAGAATAAGAATTTAATGATTAAAGTTAGATACTAGTACTTTGCTTCTGACTATATAGCTCCTCCCTTGTTAATCATCTTTCATCCAACACTATTCTGGTCTGTTTCTAAGATCCTAAGATCCCGTGGCATAGGATAGAGGGTAATGGTGGTGGTATTATTAATATTAATTATCAATAATTATAATGCCCTTATATTGTTTAACTCAAAATGACATAACTAATGTTCACTGCTCCTGTGTTCCACACAACAGCAACCCTTTTAGGGGGATTGGACTAAGAGAGGAAGACTGTCCGAAAGTCAACAGCTGGCTTCTGTGCTTTTTTTTTTTTTNTAGATATCTCAGTTTACATCAATAAAGGTTCCCTCTCTATTTCCCTTAGGTATTATATCACATTCATATTAGTACATTTCTAGCTAAAGTTCAATCAATCTATACATTTATCAATAACATTTTAGTTATACATATCCAAGTCCTGTTTTTAGGTTTTATTTAATTCCAGTTATCATATTCCAATTTAGCCTTTTATAACTACTATTTATAATTTGGATAGGTTTAGTTTCCCTCATTTCATTATAAACTAATTCTCGTGACTAAAATACAAATATTATTCCAAAATTTAAATTCTTTCTTTATTCACCAATATATTCTATTTCTCATCCTAATAACTCCTCATACACTAATAACATATCTTTCATGATCACAAATCCATTTCTCTATAACCATTAAGGCTATAATCTAACAAATTATTTTAATTTCCATTATAAATCTGAATCCTAAATATTAAATCAGTCAATAACTCTAAGATCAGTCAAAATCTCTAAAAGAAAAGCTGCTTAACCCTCAAATGAATTTTTAAATCCCATTTTTAAATCTAACTCTGGCTTTCTTTTTATGCCAAGCAGGCTTCCATACCAATGCCCTTAAATCCTCCAGTGTATCTCCCTTGATTCCCACGCATATTGTTTGAATCAAGGGAGAACATCCAGTTATCAGTTTTTCAACGAAACTGGCCCCTTTGTAGTTATTAGGTTGTTGCCCTAATAGTTCAAATCTCCATATTTGGTTTAAAATGCTTGTCATCAATTCAGTCTGGTCTTCCTCTTCTTTCTGAGTGAAGCAAAGAGTCATATCTGGTGTTGTAACTGTTGTTTGGTCATCCAAGTTGTCTAAGTTCTCAATATGATATGTCTGTAGATCAGTTCCTGTTGTTTTTGGAGTTACAGGTGTTTTAGTTGGCATCAGTATCTGTTTGTCAAAGTTCTCCGTAAGTTGTACATGCTGTTGAGTAGAATCCTCTTTGATGTTAAATTGTTCCTCTTCTATTATTTTTTGGCTTGTAACTTGAACAATTGGGGTCTGGGGTTCAATCTGTAGTTTGATGAAAACATCTTCGGCTTTCACTCGGGATTTTATTAGCTCGGTGGCTTCAAGGATTTTTTGAAGTATAAATTTATAATTAAGTTGTGGGTAGATTCCCTCCGTTTCCATGGTGATTAGCGGTAGTCTTTTGGTGGAGGCTATGTTTAGTAAAGATCAGCCAATGTCCACCTCCACACTTTCTAAAGCTGTTTCCACCACCCAGCTGTTTCCAAATCTTATCTTTTTTGATAGTATGAAGGGCAAATCAAGAGAGTCAACAGGCCTCACAATTGAAAAAAGAGAGAGAGAAAAGAGAAAAAAAATTCAATTGCTGTGCCAGTTTTCGCCACAGGATGTCCCCCTTCGACCACAAAATCTTTTCCCAGACGCCAGTTAATCTTTTATTTAATTAAAAAAAGCCGAAAAAAGAGGATATTTTCCAAAATAAATGGTTAGAGAAATAATAAGTCTCAGTAATTAGATCTTTTAAAATCCCAAAGGTATCCGAAAATCAAAAATTCAGTTATTTAGTTATTAAAATTACTTATTATTTTCTTTCCTTCAACGTTTAAATTCCCAAGTATAGAAACGCTGCTGCATTGAAAGCAGGGGAGAGGTTTGAAAAGGAGATGCCTCAGATCAAACGGAAGGGCTGCCGCCCCTCTGCAATCTAGCGAGGGTCCTCCCCAACGGTGGTTGCCTCTCCAGGGCGACTTTCAACCCTTTCCAGGGTCTCCGAAGAAGGGAAGAAGGGAAACCGGACGGCGGGGAGAACAGTCTCTCCACATGTCTGCTGGCACCGTGATCCGGAACCGGAAGCCGGCTTCTGTGCTTAAGGGAGGACTAGAACACAGAGTCTCCTGGATTCTAGTCCAGCATCTTAACAGCTACACCAACTAGTTCTCTTGTACTGGCAACCAGAAAAAACAATGGGGGGTATGGGGAACAATTTTAGGAATTGCTGCAAAGATACCGTTATAAGGGAAATTGAATGGAGGAAAAGAGCAGTTTAAAGTAAAGTACACAGAAAAAGGGAACTAAAAGTTTGTACTTGGCTAGATCTTCAGAGAAAAAGAATTTGAGGGTTGAGCAATACCAGTAGTTACTGAAAATGTCTTTCCTGATGCTGTGACCTAAGGATGCTTTTGGCAAGAAAAGATGTCAATCTTACAGGGACAACTCTTAAAGCAGAGAAGGCAATTACAAGATACATAAGGACGCAAGCCACGTATGGTCTTGAATAAATTAATCCCCAAAGACACCAGGCAAATATCACAAGAACCGAAACATTGCAACCAACAGACTTTTAAAGTATAAGGCAGTGCTTCATCTTGAGATGGAATCCAAACCCAGCAAGGAAAAAAAAATTACTATGGTTCTCTTGAAACAGAGCATACATTTTAAATAGCTCAGTTTCAAGTTTAATATTCTACCCTCAGCTTCTCCTCCAGTGTATACTATAATGCATTGAGTGGAAAGAATGATCCAATGCATCACAGTGAAAAAAGTAACAGCTTTGTGATGCCTTGGTGAGGAAGGAGAAGATGGGATTCTGAGACTGATAAGAATAACAGTAGTCTTTGTAATCAATTATGGGATCATAGCCTGGAAAAAGAGAGGGATGTATATCTTCACCATCTCAACTTATTATCCCCCAGGTGCACCTTAGCCATTGATCTGGACAGTATATGATGTCTTAAAGAACGTCTCCCTGATTCATTTCTTAATTTCTCATCCTTATTTCCATTCTTATCTAATCCCACCGCAAATATTTGTTTCTCAAATTAGCATTCCAGTCCTTTTCCTCTTTCACTTTCCCAACATATTTCATATTTCAATTTTATCACAATTTCATAGTTATCTAATTCTTCATTAAGTGAGCATTTGCTTTTATTTGTTAATATTTAAATATTGTTATGTGAGCAGTTTGGAATTTTGGTTTTTCTTTTGGTCCTTGTAAGTAATGCTCTGAACGATTCCATATTGGATGACTCTGTGTCTGATCAGGCAGGCTGACCCTCTCCAGGCAAATATTTGTATGACTATAAAATTTCTCCGGAAAATGTAGACCCTTACCTATTTTGGATACCTTCCTTCTTTTAGATTGTTTTTAGCAAATGAGGTTGTCAAAATATTAAGTGCTCAGATATTGTTAAATATCTATCAGTCAGCCTGAGGTTTCCTGAAATTAGAAAACTAAAGGACAGCATATATCAGCTTTCCCGTTTGGAAGAGCATACAACTCTGGCTTCTTTTATGAGGAGACAGCACCTAAGGCCAAACAGCCAGTTCAAAATGCATTAAATACATTCAATTTCAAGAGGCATATAACTGGTTTGGATTTTGAAGCTATTCTTCTAAGGTTACTTCTTTTTTCATCCCAGATATCCAAAGTGTTTGAAGAAGAGATCACACCTGGTTTTACCTTGTCTCACAGTAAGGAACATATTGACGTCACCCTGGGCGAAGAATTCTTTGAGAAACAAAAGCCTACAGAAGAAACCATCAAAACTACTGTGCCCGGGTAATCTTACATAGTGGCCAGATCATGTATTGACATAGCATAATTCCCAACTTCTTGCTGTGTGACATGTTATTGGTGTTTTGTCATTTCATGTATGTGGGAACAATGCAACCAACTAAGCTTCCACATCTTTATACAGGTTCCCAATAAATTTTGAGAGAGAATTCAAGCATGTGCTTGATGGTTGCAGATGGTTTCCGCTATTCAAGTATTCCCAGAAAACTATTTTAATGGAGGAAGAAGAAGGCAAAGGTCAAATAGAGCAGCCATCCACAGCCAGCCTTCCTAATGTGTTAGATTTCATCGCCCCTTGTAGTCTCCAGAGACTATAACCAAGGACCATATTGGCTAACCATGAAGAAGTCTTGCACATCTGGAAAGCAATAGGTTGTTAAGCTGAAGAAGGACATCTTAAGCTCAAGGGTATGTGCAGAGGAGGCAAGGGAATAAATAAGGGCCTGATGATACATATTATCACACAATTTACAAATCTGCATCAGAGATCTTTGTAGAGGTGGGTCATAAAGGCACGTGCATGTCTCCCTCAGTACCAATGTCCCACCATTTTGGCATCATGGTGGTTTACAGCTTAGGTCTTGTTAAGATAAATACAAAAGAATCAAGTTCAAAATAGATGGCTTTTTCTGTCCTAGAGTGGAAGTGAGAGCTGCGTATAGAACTATATGAAGAAATCTAGAATTTAGCAGTGGATATGACCAGACACCCATTTAATTTTCTCTCCCCCCCCCCACCCACTTCCCAGAAAAAAGAAACAAACATTTCCTAGCTTACAAACCCCTTAAACTGTTTTTACATCTGTTTGGGATATCTCTTACATCTTAGAGTTGGGAAGATGTATGCTGCTGAAGGAAACCTTCAAAAAGCCTTTAATTACTGTAATTTCCCATGTCGTCTTTGATTCTCAATATTAGCCTGAATACATTTATAGCTGAGATTTTAAGATGAGATTTTGAGTCAATGTTTGGTTCAACTGAATGGTTTTCTGTTATGCTTTTCCGCCATAATGGGATTGTCTAGAGATTTAAATAAAAGACACATTACATAATAGTGGTAATTGAGACAATTTAATTATTTGTCTCAATCATTTGATCATCAGCTTGTTTTATGCTCCTTTACAGATCTGAGTCTCAATCTGAAAGTTCTAATAACATCCCCAAATTCCTGTATTGTATTAAGACACGATGCTTATAATTGCTGTAATTACATTATGCCTGCAGACTGCAGAATTTGCCAAATATTGTAATCCACAAAATTCAGCCCATACTTTCTCTATACACAAATGATTATAGATTAGATCTTGAATGCAATGACTTTCTAAAACAAATGTGTTTAATAGAATGCAATGGGGTTTTTATACTGCTCTCTCTCTCTCTCTTTCCCTTTGCAGCACTCCACCTAAGCTTGAAACGTAAGTATTGATACAGTCTTTTGCCTCTTATGGTTTTCTTGGATTGCAATCAATATAGTGCCTAAATGTGTCCCCTGTTCTGTTTGCTCCGCTATAATCCCGTATTTTGTTAATCTGAGTTAATCTCATTTCTTTATGGTCTATTTTAATCTGAGTTTACAAAGTATTTTGAGGAACAGTGTACCAAATCTGCTGCCCTGGAAACAACAAATTCTTGTTCTGCAAAAATGTCTGGGGTGTTGCTGAGTTAAACACTTGTGCACTTATTAGACTTTTCTCATGTGTATTTGTCTGCTCTGGAGTAAGAATGAACAGTTTGATCAGCTTTGACAGAAAAAGGTAAGGAAGGTCATATAAATTATATTACAGCACTGTTTCCCTAAGATGTGGCCACGCTAGACAGGTTTATGAATCCTAGGCCAAATAAACTGGAGAGCATCAGGTTGCTAGTCTGCTGAATTAGCTGATATTCCTCCTACAATAAATTTTTTTGTAGTTATAAACCTTTATGTTTAAAAGCCTCATTTTCAGGGGTATTCAAAAGAGCCTCCTAAACTGAAGAGACAATTGTAAATGATAGTAAAATTGGGAAACATTTCAGATTCCAAAGTTGAGTTGCTGTTGACCTCAAAAGAGAGGTTTTTAAAAGGAAGACATGTAAACATGAAATGTTTCAATTGGACTACTAGACTCTTTGATTCTGTTTGTTTCAGATTTAGCATGGCATTTTGATAGGCAATCTGATATTCTCCAGATACTTGGACAGCAACCTAGCTGACCTGGCCAGTAGCAGGTATTAAGGAACCTGTGGAGGACATCGGACTTCTTACCTGGATATAGCTATTCTCAGAGACATACGTTACCTTTGTTGTTATGATCTTTGTTTTTGTTTTTAAAATGTATATTGAAATAAATTGTCCTATTCCATTTCAGTCTGACTGTATCAGATTGATAGAATTGTCCCTTTAGAATGTATTACTATTTACTAGTAAATTCAGATAAGAATTCCAAAGGAGCTACGTCTTACTACACCTATCTATCTAAACTGCCATTGGGAGGTATTTCCTAATATTTCTTATATTTATTAGTTCTCAGAAGTTATTTATTATTCATTCAGGGTCTTTTAATGGACTTTAGTAATCCAAGTTGTACATTGAATTTGCCTCCTATACAAGTCCAGGCTGAGTCACACATTCATGTGATAATGGTGTAATCTAGAGATATTTTTACAGATTTAATGACAACAAATCAGATTTCCAAATTTCCCAAGCACTTTTTTTTAAAATGAGTCCACTGGGAGAAATGATAAAAAATCCAATATGATGTTTAAATGTAGAAACCAGCTCTCTGTTGTTCAGTTACTTCTGATTTTTCATGGTATCATTTTGCCAGGATTATCAGTAACTAGTTGGGTTCTTTTAAACTCCTGCTTGTGTCATTAATGATGGTATCTAGCTAGTCCATCTTATGTTAACATCTTTTTTCAATTGACTTCAATTTTTCCAAGCAGTAGAATCTACTCCAAGGATGTTTGCATTTGTATAATGTGTCCAAAATATTGATTATATTTGGAAGCCCACCTTGAATGAATGAATGAATGAATGAATAGAAGGGGCATGTACCTATTTCTAGAATGAACAGGCTGAGCAGAAACAGTTGGAAATAGGTGCTTTCTCAGGGATCCAGATTCTATGCCAAGAGCTTTATAGTTAATAACCAGCATCTTGAATTGCATTCGGACTGGCAACCAATGCAGCTCACATAGCAGTGGTGACATATGGGCATACCCAAAGGTACCCATTATATTCTGATTGGTCTTCAAGGGCAGCTCCTAGTAGAGCACATTGCAATAATTCAGTTATATCCATTTAAATCCAAACAAATTTACATTTCAAAGTAATAATTACTATTTCTCTGGAACAATTTGTACACTGTATTTTGTAGGGAAGATGTTGTTGCTGACTTAGTGGAACAGATTTCTGAACTGACAGCCATTATAGAGCAATTGCGCCGAGATCATCAAGTAACACATAAACAGGCGAGTCATGTTGGTCGTGGAGAAAATCTTCCCCGTAGATATTTCAGAGATTCTGCTATATTGGGAGAGAGACTACTGGTTGGGAGGAAATTATTAGGACCTCTTCCAGAAACCAATTACTATCAAGTTAGGTGAATTTCTAAAGCAAAGGTACTAATGGAAAGAATTAGCGTGGAGATAGGATGAAGTGGAATGTATTTAGTCTCTTAGTTGCAGATAGAACTTCTATGCATAGCTGAACTGTGTACTTTTGAGTTAGTCTTGATTCCAGTAATTATTCCAGCCATGTTCCTGCAGTTTCCTTGGCAAAATGATTTGCTGTTGGCTTTTTCTGAGGGCTGAGGGAGATTGACCAGCTGTAACTAAAGCCGGACTAGAATTCAGTCTCTTGAAGTCTAGCCATGTGTCTTTAAACACTGCCCTGGCTATCTATATATACAGTTACACTGCTAAAAAAATCCATTAGGGAAGTACTTATTAAATGTAATTGTCTTTTTCTTTTTTCTAGCTGGAGAAAGATATGGAAGAAAAATGCACTGAGATGCAAGAGGAACATGATAATAAAATGAGGTCTGGATGTTTGGAAATCTTGAAGTAACTTTTCTTTTTCCATAGTTATAGGAGCAAAAGAGGAATAACAACATATTAAGGAAACAACTTCCCTTCCCCCCATCCTTAGAAAGGAAGCAGACAGCATGTGACTTTTTAGCATTGTTCTGTGGAGGCTAACTCAGAAGTAATAATGAACAAAATATTTTGACTATTGATTAATCTTATTTGAATCTGTGTTATTGGCCATTTTCAGTCACATAAACATCTTTTTTTAATGCATAGCACAAATAGAGTATACAAAATAAATGATTAATTGTTAAATTATTGCATTTTTGCACACTGTGTTTTTAGTCTTTAAAGTTAATTTTTGTATGAATGAAAATGGCCAACAAGGGAAATTCAAACAAAGTTATTCAGAAGTTAAGTCCATACAAGGTTGGTGAAATTTTCTTACAAATATATCTGGATGTTTAGAGCCACATTCAGCATAAGTTAAATAGTGCTGCTACTCTATCCAGAGTGCTGAAAAATTCCCTCCCAGGATGTAGTCCTGTTGAAAATCCTTCTTCTGTTATTTACTCTGTGTGGAAGCTCCCTAAGAAGATATAAGCACAAGGAAGTAGAGTTAATTTTTCCTACCTTACTGCTGGAACCCAAATACTTATCAGCTTTCCCTTCCCATCAGCGCCTGCTACTTTACCTACACATCAGATGCAGCTTTGGGCCCTTAAAAGGTCATTCTCCTTTTCATTAGTTCCAGTTTCCCACTTACTTGTCTACACTGTGATTAGAATTATTCCTTAATAAACCACAGTAGCAATTGGTGTGGGCGTGGCATACTTTCACCCAGAAAAATTTCTGTGAATAAAAACACAATAACAATAATGTAGTATCATAGGAATAATAAAAATAATCACAATAATTGTTCTTCACTTAGATCACAAACATGCAATAAAAATAATATGTAAATATAATTGAACATTGGTTATGAATGTACCTTGGTACTCAACTGCTTTGAAACTCATCAAATTTGGTATCAACACATTTTGACATGAAAAGTTTGCCCTGAAACTTATTGTTTGTTTGTTACTCAATGTATAAGCTAGAACTTGTCTGTGTCAGCTGCCTTGTGATTCACTACATTATTTCTTATGGGAAAAAATTGTTTGGTACTCATCGGTTGTGGTACTCATTGTGGCTCCTGGAACCAATTAATGTTGAGTACTGAGGTACCACTGTAGTAAGAAAACTTATTGCAAATCCTAGGTTTAGCTCCTGTGCAAGTTACAAGCAGTCTAGAGCTTTTCACAACAGGATGGAGTTATCCATTTTCCCAATTTCAAGAGAGCCAGTAATTTCAAGGCTTTGCTACAGAGATTTTTCATAAAACTGAAGCTAATACAGGAAGAAATACAGTACTGTAAGCTGTTTCACCTAACCTGGAGCCTTTTCCTACTGAGTTGACGTTCCATTTAATAGTCCTTGAACCAGCAGAGAACTATACTACTATGAATTTGCTAATCCCTGTCCTGCCTTAATAGGCAAACAGTGATGACCTTAGTTACTATGTGCAAAACCTATTAAGGAAAGGAATTGCTGACTTGCTTTGGTTTCCTTCCTTCGCATCCCACCAAACATCAGATGGGGTTGGCTTTGAGAAGGGATACATTCTGGTAGATGGCCTGAAGAGTAACTATTTGTCTTGTTAGCTTGCATTCAAAAGAAGCCTGGTCAACAGCTGAAAGATACTATGGGCTTTCCTGCTTGCTTGTGGAGTTCTCTACCAGCTCTAGTCACCTGTTAGCTGGGCTGATCTATCTTTCAAAGCCAGGTTGGCCCAGAGGTCTGGAAAGTTAATGAGAAAATCCCGGAGGCTCCCACCGCCCAGACCAGAAAGGCCTTGGAGTATTGTAACCAATGACTGGAGAGAAAGGAGGTTCCCCACACTGTCCAACATCTACAAGTGTCCTCGGCTTAAGACCACAATTGAGCCCAAAGTTTATGATGTTAAACAAAACAGTTGTTAAATCGGTTTTGCCGCATTTTATGACTTTTCTTGCCACAATTGTTAAGTGAATCAATGCAGACGTTAAGTTAGTAACATAGATGTTAAGTGAATCTGGCTTCCCCATTGACTTTGCTCATCGGAAAGTCACAAAAGGTGATCATATGATCCCCAGGACACTGCAACCATCATAAATATGAACCAATTGCCAAGCATCCGAAATTTGATCATGCTGCAAGGGTCATGTGAAAAACAGTCATAAGTCACTTTTTTCAGTGCCATTGTAACTTCAGTCACTAAACGAATGGTTGTAAGTCAAGGACTATCTGTATTGAATTGATCTCATCCTTTAGGTCTTTTTCATAATGCCACAAAGAGAATGATACATGAAGGGCTGATCTTCCTTACTTTCTCTCTTCAGGCTAAGACATACTTGTGTATGTTTCTTCTGTACTTTTAGTGCTGCTTTGCTGTCACCCTCTCCAGTCATTGCACAGATTTTTGTAGATTTCCCCATAGAGTATTTGAGTCCCTCTGATTTCCTCCTGAAATGTAAAGGATATTTTACAACCAGATTTTAGGTATGATTAAAGGCTGTATATTAAAGTGACAAAAAGCAGGTGCTGAGACTTGTACAAGAGAAGAGCTCCTCACTAAGGCAACGTTACCACTCTGTGTGTATCTCTTCAAGTTTATTATGAAGACAGACTAGAGGACCTAACAGACCACAAGTGCAGAAATGCCTTTTTTACCTTACTTTCCTGTTATGTTGTCTTGGCAGGGAGATTCAAGGATTTCACATACTAGAAGTGAATAACCTGGAAGAGCAGTATAAGAAAGAGTTGAGGAATGAGAGGGCAACTGCGCAAGAAAAATTGGGTATGATGCATAACTATCTATTCATCTCATACCTACATGTGTCCTGGAACTTCAGCACACAGAGTTGTTTCACAAAGAAAATTGGAAATGTATAAGTAGCCAGGGACAATGGGATGATTAACACACCAGTTTGTTGTAGTGGTTAAGACCCAAGGTTGGAAACTGGGGAACTGTGAATTCGAGACCTGCCTTAGGCACAAGGCTAGTTGGGTGATCTTGGGTTAGTCACTCTCTCTCAGCCCTAGGAAGAATGCAATGGCAAACCACTTCTAAAATCTTTCCAAGAAAACTGCATGAACTTGCAGGCAGTTGCCAGGAGTCAATGTTGACTTACACACACACACACACACACACACACACACACACACATATTTCCATCAGCTGTTGCTATTGCATTTAGAACTAACAAGGAGCAAAACTGCTCTCTCTCTGTTTACAAGCTCAGAGCAACTTGTAAACTATTTGATTGGTGTGTGTGTGGGGGGGGGGGATTGAAAAAACCTGAGAAGCATCTTATTTTTATATCTTAAACACTTATAGTAGGCTGAATATTCTATGCTACCAATCACAGACATGATATTTGTTATCTACTCATGCTTCTTGTTACTGCAACACTCATATATGTAAATCGAGTTTCTATCAAGGAAGGAAATATATAAATTGTGTGGAGCTGCAGGTATTAGTTATCTTAAAGCCAGGATCGGTTTTAAAGTGCTTGTAGATGTCAATATCAGAATCCTGGCAAGGCAATTGTAATCAATGAGGCACACAGTAAGCTCTGTTCCTAACATCTACAGAAAGGGACAAAATCGTTAAACTAGAAATTGTGATCTTCTGTATTTCACTGAATGCAATATGTTAAAAATCCTGGCTGAAAGTAAATCAGTGACAAACTCAGTAGAAATACAGTATAGGGCCAGTCTTTCCCAACTTGCTGCCATTCAGATGCATCAAACTCTCCTTGGCAGCTACCATTCACCCCTAGCATGGTGAATGGTAGCAAAACGCACACTGAAGAGAAGTTAAGAAATCACACGAAAGTCAACAATCTTAAAATGGTAAAAACAATAAGAAACCTTGACAACCAGTTGGTGGAAGCCTTAAATTAAAAAGAACTGAAGAAAAACAAATTTAAAACATTTCACCTGATTTCACTGAGGGATTTCCAATATTCAAATGCTATTTAAACAAAATATTACAAAAAATATCCTAGCCATCTCATCTTTGTTTTGCAAGAATGCCCTGTGGCATTGCAGGAGGTTTCAGGCAAAAAGTTGAGGTTTTGAGAAGCAAAATTATTTTCCCTCCACAGGATGTTCTATATCAGTATAACATTATTTTTATTTATTTTTCTGTTGAGGTCAAAGGCCCACTTACCTAGGACCATGTGGGCAAACTCCAAATAGTAAAATAACTTGGCATTGCAACTTAACAGTTTACTTGGATAGCTTTAAATGCAGCATTGATTTCTTTGCTCAGGTTGAATACCTAACCGTGCTTTAGAAGAACTTCCCTCAGGGTGGGAAATGCCCTTTTGACTGTAAAAGCAAGAGGCCAAACTCAAGTTAGAAATATGTAGAATTGAACAAACCTTGTTGAGAATTAGGAAAATTGCCTTCAAAAGGAAACCTTGTTAATCTCACCAGCTTGGAAAAAAAACAGTGTTTACAATTAGCAACTTATGAGGGCATGGACACGAGGAGGCATGCCATGGTCTCAAAAGGATGGATGTGTTTGAGAAAGTTTTTTAAGGATGAGAAAGGAAACTGGAGATCTTGGGAGGGAACTTGCTGTCCTTTCTCACAAGCTCAAAAGAGCCTGATTTTTTGCCATGGGGTAGTGGTTAATGGGTAAGAGAAAGTAGGGCACATGGGAGACAAAATATCAGTTTCTATCTTAAAATCCCCTTTCTCAAGCTCCAGAACCTGACTCAAAATTACACTGCCAAACTTGAATTATTTTGTCACTGAATTTAATTGGTGTAGTTCTGAGATGCTGGAAGATTGCAAATAGGATGCTCGGAAATGGAATGACTGAGCAGACCTTACTGGCTTCTCTATTCGAATCTCCAGGAAGACAATCATAGCTTAAGACATTACAAATCTCTAAATCCGCCCTCCACAACTTTCTCAGCCTCTCAAACTGCATCCAACCTTCTTATTCCTAATTAGGATGAGGGGAAAGATATTTCCCTGACAAGTCACTTCCTAGTACTTTGGAACAGGCAGCTCCGAGCAACAATTAGGAAATATTCTCCTAGCAAAAACGTCATCAGTGACTGGGACAATTAAAACGTTGTGTTGAAGCACTCCTGGCTTCATTAATTCTCTCCTATCTGTGTTGAGAAGTGGGCCCTGGATTAAAAAAAAAAATACTGAGGATGATTCTGTAGTTAATTTCTCAGAAAAACACATCACTAAAATTAAGACAATTCAAATTCAGAAAAACATGGAAGAAAAGGTTGAATCAGTAGTTTATAGTGCTACGGCTTAGATGCATGGAATGCATTATTCCTTCCCCTTTTTCTCCCATCAGCTACAATGCAGAAGGAATACAAATACTTGAAGAATGCATTTCGTATGTACCAGGTAAAGATTTAAACTGTCATCTAAGAATTGATGAAGTAGGGTTGTCAAACTTGTGGATTTATGAGCATATTTAGAATTTGGAGATAGAACAGAGACACCTTTTTGCACCAGCCTTCAGTTGGCTGTGGCTTTCCCACAATGAGTGACTATTGCAAAGGCAGCCCACAGTTATAAAGAAATTAGAAGAAAAATTGGTGGAAACTTAACCAAAGGTGGCATTTCTACTGTACACTTTTCCCCAAAAAATTCCACAATTTTGGCCACTGCTGTATCTATCTACTTGCCTGCTTATCTCTACAGTCAAAAACATGCTGTTATACAGAGTAATTTGTATTCCCAAAACTTACCTGAAAGCAGAAATTAAACTCTCTTCTTACTGAAAACCTATTTTTTATTGAAAAAATAGGGTCCCCCCCTTTTTAACCTTTGTCCACAAGACTATTGTTAAATTTTGGGTTTTTTAAAATCATACTAGTTTAGTATGCAAATGTGCAAGCAAGAACTGGTGAATTCTTCATATTTTGTAGAAGACAGTACAGAAGGTCCTTTACTTATGACCACAATTGAGCCCAAGCTTTATGTTGCTAAGTGAGTGAGTTTTAGCCCCATTTTATGACTTTTCCAGCCACAGTTGTTAAGTGAATCATTTCAGTTGTTAATTTAGTAACCCAGTTGTAAAGTGAATCTGGCGTCCCCATTGACTTTGCTTGTCAGAAGGTCGTAAAAGGTGATCACATGACCTTGGGACACTACAACTGTCATAAATATGAAGCAGTTGTCGAGCATCTGAATTCTGATCACGTGACCATGGGGATGCCGCAATGGTCAGGTGAAAAATAATCATGTCACTTTCTAGTGCCATTGTAACTTCAAACAATCACTATGGTTGTAAGTTGAGGACTACCTGTAGTTTATATTTCTCCCCTCCCAACCTGCATGCCTTTTGTGACTTCTCAATATCCCATGGAGTTCATGATTTATAAAGTCATATACGCAGTGTCTCACACAGGGGAAAATAAATCAAATTTAAAGCCTCCTGTGTACAGATGTGTTTATGGTTAATCCACACAACTGAAGGAGCCATAAACTCATGATGACTTTTGAAATATTTTTTTAATTGGATCACAATATCCTGTTTGATGTGAAGGACAGATTTTAATACATTGATAGGCCGAATTGTTGCCTATATGCATTTCAAGCTGGTTGGTGGTTTTGTTTGCTTGTTTGTTTCGGTAGGATAGCATTTCTGATGAAATGGAAGAAAAATGGCTGAGAAGGCAGGCCGAATGGAAAAAAAGTGAGAGGACTGAGCGAGAAAAGGCACTATTACAACAAAGTAAGTAAAGGGAATGCACTAATCTTACACTAGTGTGATCAAAGCACTATTTTCTGTTCTATCATTTTTATTATTATCCCAGGAAAATAAGCAAGGACACCCAAATGCTGCAGATGTTTTGGCTGATTTTACATGTATTATATAGTAATATATGGTATAAAATCATCTAAACAAATCCAGGTTATAACAACAACAGCAATAGCACTTAGACTTGTCCAAAATGGTATAGGGTTACCTGCCTGAGCAGGGGGTTGGACTTCATGACCTCCAAGGTCCCTTCCAACTTTATTATTATTATTACTATTATTATTATTATTATTATTAGACATATGCTGCTTCACAGTGCTTTACAGCCCTCTCTAAGCAGTTTACAGAGTCAGCCTATTACCCCCAACAGTCTCATTTTACTGTCCTCAGAAGGATGGAAGGCTGAGTCAACCGTCAGCCTTGACCCTGGCAGTCAGCAGAGTTAGTCTGCAATACTGCATTCTAACCACTGTGCCACCATGGTTACTATAATATTAGTAGTTATAATTATATAATTAATAGTATCAATACTATAAAAATATAAAACTAATTATAAAATTAGTAAGCGTATCCTGAAACCAAGCATAAAGACTTAAGAGTTTTAAGAAAACAAATTCACCAACTTTGGAATGAGGAATAGTGTCAAGGGATGGGGGAAGAGGAGTCCAACATATAAAATAGAGAACAAAATTGAACAAAGTTGAACAATAAATAACAGGCACACCGCACCATCCTAGGCTATCCCTGGCTAAGAAGAATAAACTTAAAAGATGGTTATATATTATATTTTTACAAAAATTGCCTAAATAAATAGATAGAACATAACTCAAGTAAATATAAATATATTAAACAAATAGGAAGAAAATCAGTTGTCAAAAGCAGAAGAAAGCAAACAAATTAGCAAATGGAAGAAACAAAAAGCGACAAGAGAAACTATTTTACTAACAAGGTGCAGGCACCAGCATTTTGCCATATTGTATTTATGGTTGGAGTTTTATCAGACAATAGAAGCAGCATACAGAAATGCTTGGGGTGTCTTGAAAAATGTATTAGCAAAGGTGTAATACAGGTGCTGCATACATAGCTATTTATATCAAATTATGCTAAATTCATATGAGAATTTCCAGGACTCAGGAATAAAACAATTAAGTAATAATACATTTTTTAAAAAAAAAAAACCAAAGCCCAATCAGGGTGGATCCTACATGTTAAATGTTAAATTTAATTGAACACTTTTTTGTTTTTTGTACACTATTTTTTTCTTTCTTTTTTTTTTGTTAGGGTTGAATGTATGCTGTTTTGTATTTTATTTTCTGTGATATAACAATAAATATAAAAAAGAAAAAAAACTTTTATTCTTTCCTCAGAGCAATCTTTAACAAGGAGATTTGAGATGGAATTAGAGGAGCAGAAGAAGATTATTCAGAATAACAGTTTTTTGCTAGGAAGAGTTTATGAACAGGAAAGAGAAGTAAGTGCATTTTGTACTTATCAAAAGTTGCTTTGCTTTTTTCGGAAGGCTATTGTAACTTGAATTAAAAGCTTTTTCTTACAAATCTCAGCCATATAAACTTGTATTCTTATAATAGCCTGACTTACTGCTCTATTTTTTGTTTAGCACTAAAAGAATAAAAAAAATTAAACAAAAGTCACAAACCATTAAAGCTTGCTCCTGAGTGGAACAAAATTTCTTCAGGAATAATTAATCAGAAATCTTATCCATTCATTCATTTATTTCTTGGAGATTAGAATGGGCCCAACGCTCTTGGCCTTTCATAAGGCTTTAAAAATATGACTCTGTTCCCAAGCTTGGACATTGAAGGTGTTAAAGCCCCCATTTCCTGGCTTTATTTTTAACTGGTTGACTATCTTAGCTGCTGTGTACATTTATTTTGGATGTTTTTATTGTTTTTATAGTTTTGGGATCGTAAGCCACCTAGAGTCATTGATTGAGATGGGCAGGTATAAAAATTAAATAAAGAAATAAATTCAAGAAGCAAACAACTCCAAACAGGAAGCAATAAAGGATTTTGAACTGATATTGTAAAATGGCTTTATTGCATGATTTTTATGATTGGGCAGACATCTTGCAAGTAAGGAAGGTCAATACTGCAATATCTCATTGGGTTATTTCAAACTGCTTTTTTCATTCTCCTTTCAGTAATGGAGAAAAATGAACCCTATGGCATTAATGAGCCCAATTGTGAAGCAACTTTAGCCAGAGATGTAAAGGCATGGTGGTTAAAAGCTGGTAAACTTTCCATGAAGCCCATTGTTCTTGGTTAGGCAAACATATGGATGCATTTTTTTAATGCACGGGAAGTAGTATTTTTCATATATAAGTTAGAAGCAGAGAATAAGCCTCTGAGTTTCAATCTGAATGGGAAATTTTCGGTAAGATGTAAACTTAAGGAAACTTACTCGTAAGCCTATTTTCTTCCTATTGTCACACATAATGGTTATACAAGTCTCATCCAGGGCATAGCTAGTCAGAGTGTGAATTGAGCTCCATAAGGGGAGACGCACACTGAGACTTCATTGGGAGCTCACAAAAATATTAAGAATTGAAAGTGCATTTTCAGGTATATTTTTCTGTTAACTCCCTATCTTTTTTCTTTTCAGGAATTTCAGAAGCAGCAACAAACTGCCTTGGAAAATATAGACATGTTAAATGCCAAAATCAAGGCATGTGTATTGATTTTTTTTAAAATAATAAGTGCAATTGAGGCACCTATTTAATAAGTAGCAGCAGTGTGGCTTATTGTAGGCTTCCTCTTTATATATATTAGGTGCAGCTTTCCCAACATTCCACTTGCAGGTTGGGGCAAAGGAGAATTATTAGTGGGAATAATAATAATAATTTATTAAACTAGTATTTAGTATTTTGATTAGGTCCANGGTTGTTCCAGCAAGCGGGACTGGCCTAGGGGATTTTATAGGGGTTTTAATTACTTTTAAATTTGACATTCTCAAATATTTCATTTTAATTAAATTTTAACTAGGTGTAATATGTTAGCTTTTTATCATTTGTCAGCCGCCCTGAGTCCGAAAGGAGAAGGGCGGGATATAAATACAATTAATAAATAAATAAATAAAATAAATAAAGGTCAATACTGCAATATCTCATTGGGTTATTTCAAACTGCTTTTTTCATTCTCCTTTCAGTAATGGAGAAAAATGAACCCTATGGCATTAATGAGCCCAATTGTGAAGCAACTTTAGCCAGAGATGTAAAGGCATGGTGGTTAAAAGCTGGTAAACTTTCCATGAAGCCCATTGTTCTTGGTTAGGCAAACATATGGATGCATTTTTTTAATGCACGGGAAGTAGTATTTTTCATATATAAGTTAGAAGCAGAGAATAAGCCTCTGAGTTTCAATCTGAATGGGAAATTTTCGGTAAGATGTAAACTTAAGGAAACTTACTCGTAAGCCTATTTTCTTCCTATTGTCACACATAATTGTTATACAAGTCTCATCCAGGGCATAGCTAGTCAGAGTGTGAATTGAGCTCCATAAGGGGAGACGCACACTGAGACTTCATTGGGAGCTCACAAAAATATTAAGAATTGAAAGTGCATTTTCAGGTATATTTTTCTGTTAACTCCCTATCTTTTTTCTTTTCAGGAATTTCAGAAGCAGCAACAAACTGCCTTGGAAAATATAGACATGTTAAATGCCAAAATCAAGGCATGTGTATTGATAAAAAAAATTTTATTATTCACGTTAACTCCGTGGATAAATTATTCATCGTCGTCACACCGAATAACATCCGAAGGAGAAATATATATAATCCACGTCGAAAGGGTTGTAAGGTGAACGTCCAACCCCGTTTCCTCTTAATAATCACCCTTATTATTATTATTAAATAATTTGATCATAAATCATAAAACTAATCCAGGTGCAATCCTTGAGTGGATTAATGCCTTTTGAACCATTAAGCAAATTTGTGAAGAATAAAGTTAGAGGAGAATTTCCAATATTGGAATATATTGGCATGATATAAATATCAATAATGTACTGTATATGTATAGCTATAACCATAAATGGAATCTGCAATAGAATGCTCTTGCTCAGTCTGCTGGCTAAGCTTTTTTTCTGGATACTTTAATCCGTTTCATCTCATTTCTCTCTCCAAGCAAAACAATTAAAAAGTTGGCTGTTTTTTAGCAAGCCCATGGAAACCCTACACTGCTGTTAGATATTAACCCCCTGGTGTTTTGGCATTTTCTTCCTCTGATATGGTAGTTGAATGTCATTTGTATTTTTTCTTTTTTCTTTTAAACTTTTGATTTCATCACCTAGAATTGCTTTGGCATTTGGGGTAGATGATCAATTGAGTAAAAAAATAATTTTCTGTCTTCGGTACCCTTTAAATATGGTCAGTGTTCACTGGCTGCTTCTTCTTCTTTTTTTCAATGGAAGCTTTGCCTTCAAAGAATTCTTCTATTTCCGTTAATGGGAAATATGGCAAGTTTGCCAATACATTCTTTTTTTGATAACCTCCTTTTGACTATTAAATGTTAAGTTCAGTGTAAGTACAGTATATACAAATTAAGAATTGGTTTATTCCCTGCCACTGCAATTCTTCAAGGGATCATCTGAGAATTCCTGCACAAGCAAGGCTTCTGCATCTATGCTGAGTCTAGTTTTGAACCTTCTAGAGTTTACAGAGTTATTTTACAGGATCCCCACTCTCCATGCATACCAAGCAACAGGTGAAGCTCCCACAGAACTTCTTCAGTTCCTAAGACCATCATAGTGGATTTGAAGGGAATAGTGAGATCACATGAGACCAAATGGGGCTAAGAGGATAACATGTTGTGAAGTAACAGATGATCACCTGAACTCCATTTACAGGGAGATAAGCAGCTCTTCATTATGATCTCTATAATTCATATACATGGAGAAGATCTAGCTGTCCTAAGATGATCAAACAGAAGATAGTTCTTCCAAAAGTTGGATCATCTAAGCATTGGTCCCACCTATAAGGTTTGATTGAGGGGTTGGGCTGAGCTCATCTGGTTGCCAATAGAGTTCTAGTAGGGAATTTCTCTGAGGAAAGCAATCAATATTGCCATTAGTCTTGTGCTATGTGTGTGAACAGAAATGGGGCACTGTTTTTTGGTTAAATTATACCAACACTTGAACTTTGCCACTGAAATGCGGGAGGGGAACACAACAAACTTTAGATGAAGGAAAGCATGCAGAAAATCCAAAGAACAAGTGATTATTTCCTTTGATGTAGAAAAGATGAGAACATGATGTGGAGATACATGGGAGAGGCCCCTTTCAGCTGTGCCTCTTGGCCCTCCCCACTGCCAGTCTGGCTGCATAGAACTGATGCAGCTTCTGCTTATGAATTACTGTACTGTAGTAATTTCTTGCTGCCCATTCTAATCTTCCTGGAGGGGGGGTGGAAAAGGCTTGTTTAACCCAAGCTTATGTGAGAGAGGGGACTCTCACAGTCTGACATGCTTAATTTACCTGTAACCATAATAATAATGGTTATGATAACAATGGTGATAATAACTATAATAATGAAACAGAAAACTAATTCTCTACCACAATCTTTTTAGCATAATAACCCTGAGGCTTTTGGTCAGAGAACAGCAATCCTGTCTCCTTTTGAGGAGACAATTAAAACATCAGTCTTGTGATTTACAAATCAGTTTTATTAGATATAAAGTAATACGTTCTTTTAACTTGGGTAGCCAAATATCCAAACAATTTCAATGAGATATTATAAGGCATTTATGGCTGATGAAAATCCAGTGTCTTCCACGTGAGTTTCCCATGGTATCCAAGGTGCAGGTTGGACACAGACCCAGATGGACAGGATTCAAAGTGCAAAGAACGTAAGATGGAATGAAGCCTACAAGAATGAGGTTTCAATAAAAATGATAAATCTGATTCAAATATCAAAGGCATTTTTAAAAACAGACACATTGAAAATACCAAAGAACATGCAGCAGGTTTTTGTTTGCTTGTTTTTTATTGATTCCTAACAACTGCCTGGGTAAGTCCCTGCAGTTTTCCTGGCAGGTTTTTGGGAAATAGTTTGTCACTGCCTCCTTCATAAGGCTGAGAGTGAATGACTGGCCCAAGGTTACCCAGATGGCTTTGTGCTTTAAGATGAGGCTAGACCCCCTACAGTAGATTAGCATGTTAAAGCAAAATTATCTGAATGTAGATCCTGGTCAAGAGAGTCTACTTTATCTCTAAGAGGAGGGATTTCTCCATCCAGCTTCCTTCTTCAGCTGCCTGGTTCTGATTAACTGACTTCTGCAATTGCAACTTTCAAGCTTCTGTCTGAATCATATTCAGCACCTTTCAATAAGTCTCTTATTTTGTTCCAAGACAAACTTTTTTTTTTTCACAGCAAAGGTGAGGCTGAGGTGAAGAAGTCTAGCTTTTCTGTTAGCCCCTTTGCTTAAGACTTGGACATTTTGTTTTAGCTGTGAAAATCCAAACTCAACTCCCTTATCCATGCGTGCCTTTGCATGTGTGCTTTGATGAAGATATTAGTTCATGCTTGAGAATCAGCTTCAATCTTCCAGAAGCTAAATGAATGTAGGGAAGCAAAGGGCTTGCCATGCCTTGTATAAGTGAATGGGTGTTTGCCCACTCACTGCAGACTTTAATAGAGACAAAAAGGGAGAAGCTGCAGGTCAGAGGAGGCAGTGGACTTGCAATCTGTCTCACATCTAACCCGCATCTATATAACCACCCTAACTTCTTCTCCGTCTCACTCCAATTTAAATCTTGCATCGGCCAAGCCACTCTGTGCATCTTCTGATGAAGTGAAAGCTTATAGTTCATGAAAGCTTATGCCTTTCAATAAATGTTGTCAGTCAGAAAAAGTGCCCAGCAAATTCCTTTCCTAGGTCTTTCATGAAATGGTTTATTGGTGGGTTAGAAAAAAGTAAAGGAGAGAGAGAAAGCTACTCTTAGGTATTTTAAATATGAGCAAAAGAACTAAAATGTGATTGCTAGCATATAATTGATTTTCTATTTAGATACATAAGAAGTCCATGAGAAAGACTTCTGAAAAACTAACAAAAATTGCTTCACTTTGTCTCAAATAGCTTGTAGAAATGAATGATGATGTATCAAGATCTAAATGAAAAGCTTGTCTGTGATAGATAAAGAGTAGTAGAAGACAACAATTTGGAAGGGAGAAGTATTCATGACACAAAACAGGAATGGAATAAGCCATAACTCTTAAGGTGTGGGGAAGTGTGTAATTGGTCTTCCCCAAGGAACTGGTAAACATGAGGGGGAAAAGGTAATGATTAACTGTTGAGATAGGCAGCTGTAGAATTCATTCAGTCAAACAAATAAATAAAAAAATCCATTAAAAATTAGTAAGGAACTGGAGGTCCAGCCAACTCCTATTTGAGATAAGATTGCTCTGCCCAAAATATTCCTTTGTTTTCTGCATAAATGCTTTCTATCCTATAAGTTTGATTTGGTTGGCCCCATATAACCTGAATCCCTGATATGCACAATATTGTCTGGAAAGTTAACTCTAGTAAGTGTACTTGATTTTACTGTAAAATAAAGTCGCACATTTTCATGGAACAACTGTGGAAATGTGATGCAAATGCTTGAAATTATTTAAAAAATGTTTTTATCCAATAAAAGAAATTGGAGAATGAATTGAATGAGAAGAACGAAACTCTTCATGCTATTGCTTCATCTCTTCACAAAACAGAGATAGAACTTCAGAAGGAGGTGAGATCTGTGATGTGACTTTTGAAACTTATCTAACGTTACGTTTTTAGTTGCTGGTGGTAGGTGATTATTTTTTTTAAAAAAGATAGCCCGTCTTTCCGTTAAATAATCCCCCAAAGAGCTCAGAATAGGATCATTCTACATCTTCGTGTACCCAGTAACATTGACTCCTTCCCAGTGACTGGGATCCAAATATTGTCACTCTGCAATTCCAGGTTTTTTTTTTTATTCTTGAGGAGGATAGCAAACTCCTTGTTCCTCCTGCTGCCTTGGGGATGGGTGGGTCTCCTAGCTTTTGCCTAGAATGCTCTTCCTCAAAGGCCAGAGGCATAATTGCCCAATCAGCCGTGCTCGCATGCTAGGAGCTTTTCTTTACCTCTGCAAGAGACAGCTTTCATCTGCATCAATATTTAATGTATATCCTTTTTTATTCCAATAAATCCTATGGCCTTTGGTGAAGTGTACCTCTATGTGTGGTTGTCCACCAACAGCAAAGTCAGATCCCAAGTTCAGCTACTGTTCCACGGATGCTCTTGAAATGGGCATTAATCATTTTGTTTCTTTTCCCTGTCATGCCCAACAGAAATAAACTGAAGACTGGTTTTCTGCTCTGATAATGTGCCATCCGCTAAATACTACATCACTGAGAATTCTGAAATGTGGCCTATTTAATGGTTGCTGTAGTGTAGTTGCTTTCAATTGCCTCTGGTTTTCTTTGTCTCCCACTGCTATAGTCCCTTGCGGTGGAACCTTACTCCTGCAACTCTCTCTTTCTTATCACTCTGTCCTCCCAAACAAGGCAGAGGCAAGAGATTGTGCAAATCATTGAGTCAATGCATTAATTCTTTGTGCAAGCAAAGTTTTCTTTAAGAAGGAGAGCAAAACATATGGGGAGAGCAAGACGTGAGAATAGCTAACAAGCATAGCATTAATAAGATAATGGCAAGAGCAAAAAATGTAAGATTCATCTTTTGTTTACTGAATAGAGCAAAATTATTGATTGTATAATCATATCAGAATGTGCAATACAACAAACACCTGATTATTATTCTGAGGAACTGTTAAATGAACAGATATTGGCACTGAATCTGGAGAAGAGAATGCATACTGTAGAATACAAGAATACAGAGAATACAAGAATGGCAGGATTAGTAGAGATGACAGCAGGAATTAAAACTGGAGATCAGAACATTAATGTGAGATTTGCAGACACCATCATTTGTAGCCAAAAAACAAGGAGGAAAAGCTCATTAGGAAATAAAAATAGTTAAAATCTGGATTGTTAAATACCAACAAAGATAAGGTCAACCAGCAGTGATGCAGTAGTTTTAAGTTACAGTGATTCTGTTCAAGTTTGGGGACAGTCAGTTAAAATTCCATCCTTTCTTGCGTAGTGACCAAGCAAATGACTAACTCTAAAAAGAAATGGCCACAAGGTACTTAATATTAAGATAAAAATTCTCTAGTTCAATGCTAATTTAAAGAGTGCTCAGATACCAATGCTCTTCCAAATAATGGCAGGAGAAGATTTCATTGATGATAGAAGTTTGCTGATGATAAAGAAATTAGTATGTTACTTCCCACTTTTCCAAACCCAGTTTGTTTTCTCCACTACAGAAAGCCAAAATGGCAGAGACAGAGAAAACTCTCCAACAAAAACTAGTAGCTCTTGAAGAGAAACATCAAATTAATATAGCTTCTTTGACAGAAGAAAACAACATTTTGAGGTGGGAGAAAAAACCTTGTAAAATCCAAAATAGTAAGTCTGTTGAAAGAAGTTTTTTTAAGCTTTGCAGATTCACTGAGGTTTGTGAAACAAACCATGCTAAGATGATAAGATTTCCAATTTATTTATTAAAACTGTTTGCTGCCCATCTGTGAGGTGATTTATATATACTTGAATTAAATTATTTGACTTTGTGTGGGTAGGAGACGGTATATGGAGAATACCTATCAAGATTAGGTGTTCATTCTGAACACTTGCATCTTATTAGCTTGGTGAGATTATTTGCCAAATTCACCCCTATGGAAGATTTTTTAGCTTAGGGGTGACAAGGGCAAAGACGTAGGGAGGAAAGGAGAGATTTCAGAAAATCTTAATGACTGGGAAGCAGAATGTCTAAATTTCTTGTCCTTGGAAATATTTGCTGTTAAAATATAAGATAACCTTTATTGTCATTTTTATACTGTGGGCACAATGGCACACATCAAAAATGAAATTTAGTTACCCGCTTTCAAAGTGAAACACATACATGACACACACCTAAACATATTATGAACAACATATGTATAGACCCACATCCCTACGTATACGTAGCAAATACGGTAAATATTAAACATTGTCCATCTTGAATATATAACGGAAGGAGGAAGCTTGAGAGTTCACAAGGTTAATGATGTATGGAATGAAACTCTGGCTGAATCTAGATGTTCTGCTTCGGATAACATGAAGCCTCCTCCCAGAAGGTAACAAGGAAAACAGGTCGTGAAGAGGATGTGTAGTGTCCCAGGCAATCTTACGGACCCTGCTCAAGCAGCGCTTCTGTGCTATGTCCTGGATGGGAGGGAGGGAACTGCCAATGATCTTTTGGGCCATTCTCACCACTCTCTGCACCTCCTTCCTGTCTGAAGCAGTCATGCCTCCAAACCAGACTGTGATGCTGTATGACAGGATGCTCTCAATTGTCCCCCTCTAAAAAGTGGTCAGGACAGGGGAAGGAAGATGTGCTTTTCTCTTGCGGCGCAGAAAATGTAGGCGCTTATTGTTAGAACTGCATGCAGTAACATTCAGTAATAACAGAATTGTATTATACATTGATTTAATAGCTAAAATTCCAGTTGCAATATTCTGTGTCATTAGGACAATTGAATTTGCTTTTGAGATAATGAATGATTTGGTTGGGAGTTTCACTGATATCAGTAACAATATTCATGATGAGATCTGATTCCATGACTGTCCATATGACTTAATAGCATGCCCATATACACAGATTGTCAAAAGTCCCATTGTTTCAAGAGGAATTACTCTCAGGTTAAGGGTAAGAGCTTGGAAAGAGCTGCACTGAAATTATGCTTTTAGACTTTTCTTCCAAAATGCAACTGTTCCTATATCTTCCAAGCACTTTTATCTAATCGTGGAGTCCCCAAACCAACTAAAAAAAAAAAATACTGACATACTCAAATGTGCCTTTGTGGCATGCTAGATCATAAACAAAAGAGCTTTTAACTTCATTGTACAGAATCAAGCCTAAAAACTGACTTTTTCCACAACCCAATTTGAATTTATAAATCAATTCAAGGTGTGCTTTGGTAGATGGGTGCCCTTGCCACACATGGTTATAACTTGGCCAAACAAAAATTTGATACTTCTAGTTCATGGGTCGGCATCCCACGGCTCCGGAGCCACATGCGGCTCTTTGACCCATCCCCTGCGGCTCCAGAGCCTCCCTCCGCCATTTGTAAAGATGAGAGAGAGGCGCTTGCGCTCCCCCCTCTCATGCGGACTTGCCCCCTCGCAGGGCTCCTGATTGGCCCTGCGCCTGGGTGCCCCACCCCCTGGAAGAACAGCCAGGAAGTCCCTTTCCCGGGCTGGCCCCGTCCCAGGTGCACGTGGCTGGGGAGCTGCGCGGGAAAGCCCCGGGATCTCCGCTGGGAGCGGCCTGCTGGAACCTCCGCTGAGCAGGCCAGGGGTGTACAAATCGCAGTGTGCCTCCTTTCCCACTACCCAGCCTGGCCCGGCTTGCCCTCCTGCAGGATTTGGCCTTGGAAAGGCTGGGCTGGCCAAGCAGCCCCGGTGAGGGAGCTGTTCCCACCCCGTGGCCGGCTGGCCAGGAATTCCGTCCGGCTCGGCGAGGAGCTCGGGGGTGCCTGACCGCCACGGGGGTGTCCACCTCAGCTGCCTCCTGGCAGGCCCACTAATTGTGTGCTCCGTGCCGGCTTCCTCCGTGAGTCAGGTGCTCGGGACTCCGTGGACCCGCCCCTAATTTTTTTTGTCTTCAAAACATTTCAGATTTTGAATATTTGTGTGTGTGTGTGTGAGAGAGAGAGAGAGAGAGTATACATCTTCATGGTGTTTGCTCTTTTGTAATTTTTCTTTTTTTCTTTTTACATTTTTGAAAAGTATTTACAATTGCTGGTTTTATGCAGATAGAAAAGGCCCGTTTCCCTCAACCTGCCCTCCCTCCTTGCTTCCAATGGAGACTTGCGAGCTTCTTCAGGTCAGATCCATCCAGCACTAAGGGGCAGAGAACAGCAGTAACAGAGGAGCTCAGGGGCCGCCTGACTGCCGTGGGGGTGTCCACGTTAGCCACCTCCTGGCGGGCCCGCTAATTGTGGGTTCCCAGTTGGCTTCCTCTGTGAGTCAGGTGCCCGGGACTCCGCGGAGCCGCCCCTAATTGCGCCCTGCAAGGGCCCGACCGAGCCCCGGCCTGATCTCCGAAACGCCGCTTGCCCAAATTCTTTCTGCCTCCTGAGGGAAGTTGCGCCTCGTGATCCAATTATCGTGGGCGTTGTTGTTGTGCGTCTAATCACCAATCACATGAAATGGTCACACCTTTGACCCGTGTTCCTAGGACAAGAAGCTGGGCGTTATTCCAGCGTGGTCACTTAATTTGGATTCTTCTGTTGTTTTTATTGGTTTTCCTGTCATTACTCTTAAAAAGTTTTTAGTATTTTTAATTGTAATACATTTTTGAACTGTAAGCTGCCCAGAGTCACTGAAAAGAGCAACCAGAGATATTGAGGAAGAGAAAAGAGAGAGAAAGAGAGTGAGAGGAAAAAGAAAAAGAGAGGGGAGAGGAAAGAGAGAGAGAGGAAAGAGAGAAAGAGAGGGGAGAGGAAAGAGAGAGAGAGGGAAAGGAAAGAGAGTGAGAGGAAAGAGAGAGAGAGAGGGAGAGGAGAGGGAGAGAGAGGAAAGAGAAAGAGGAGAGGAAAGAGAGAAAGGAAAGAAAGAGAGGAAAGAGAGAGGGAGAGGAGAGAGAGAGAGGAAAGAGAGGAAAGAGAGAGAGAGGAAAGAGAAAGAGAGAGGAAAGAGAAAGAGAGGGAGAGGAAAGAGAGAGAGAGAGAGAGAGGAAAGAGAGAGAGGAAAGAGAGAAAGGGGAAAGAGAGGGAGGGAGAGAGAGAGACCCCTTTGACATCTATCTTCATTTTAGATATCAAAAGGGTTTTGCGGCTCCCAGTGTTTTGTTTTCAGTGGGAAACGGGTCCAAGTGGCTCTTTGAGTGTTTTGGATTGCCTACCCCTGTTCTAGTTGTTTTAGCACAGAATTTCAACCAGCTTCTTATAAACCACTTGATTGTGCAATGAGTGACACACAACGTGAGGGGGAAATTGGGGGTGCGTGTCACTCCCCAATACGATCTGGGATTGAGGGAAATGGTTTCCAACATTTTGTATACTATGGGTTTTGGAGTCTCCCTGTACAAAGGCAGAAAAAAAATATTGCTCTTTTTCCCTCCTCAGGCACAAGCTTATTGAGAAGAATGAAGAGATATTTAATGCCCAAAAAAGTAGTGTTTTTGGATTGTTTGATTAGGGCTATGCATGAAGAATTGGCTTATGGAGACTTGTGTGAAGCTGTTTCTTCAGAACATCAGGCCGAAGCTGGAAGACCAGAAGTGTTAAAGATTACTTACATACACGTATCATTATGTTTTTCACTTTATTTTTATCAGTTACTGCCCAATAGTTTTGTGCCATATTTTTCCCTCATTAGCTGACAAATAGAATAAATGTTTCCTTGGCCAGATGGTGGACATGTTATGATATACATTATATAAAAAGGGCATAACCTGGTCCTGTAGATTTAAGTCCATAACTAAACGACTAGACAAAATAAAACATAAGCTGTCAAATTATAACTAAAATATTATTTGTTAGAACCTTAAATATCAGAGACCCAAGCTTCTGCATTGAAGTTTTTATGAACTAGCTCCAGTATTTCCTTGGAAGCCCACCTGGGGATGTAGAACCATCTATCTAGAACTGTTCTCATTATGTTTGGCAACTGTTGCACAGTGTACTTAAAACACTGAAATGATCATCAATAAAAAGGAGCTGAATTTTAGAGATACATAGCACTTCAGATCTGAAGCCAAAAGGCACTATTGGTGCTTCCGTAACCCATATGTTCATGGGATTGTATAGCTATTGAGCACATCCAGGAAAGGACAGCTTCTTTAAGGTGTGCACATGGCCCCAGATTTGCTCCAACCTCCTATTTGGCTCTAAATCCTGGAATGTGAGTCTACGTGTGAGATTCTGCCTGTTTTCTAGAAGATATATGTACAAACTTTTCCCCCCAAAATATATAGCAAATCAAGACTTCTGTTACTTCTTTCCTGATACAAGTTTTTTAATGGCTTGAGATTTGCCTATTTGCATCCTCCTTGGCCAGTCTTTGCAATAATGTATAATTATTTATCATTATTTCTTTACCGAAGTCTTATCTCACTGCTTTAAAAACACTTTGTAATTTATCATTTCACTTTCCTTCTCCTCAATGTAATGCAACTGTTCAGATGTTCAATTTACAATTGTACATTTACAATGTACAGGTATGGAACTGTACATTTACAATGCACAGTCCATACCCACTCTGTGGATTAGGGGAAACATTTTCCCATTGAACAGGGGAAACAGTACTACCAGGTTCTGTCTTTTATATGGATTTTGTTCTGGATTTCATTAGCTTCTTGCAAGAGAGTTGGAACTTAGGCAAGCTCTACAATCAAGATTTCTTAACATAAGGCAGCAGTTCTCCAAGCTGCATCTTCTCTGCCTCAATAAGCGTTAAATAAATATAGCAGAGTATCCACTGTATTTAATAGCTGAAGGGCATATTAATTTATTTATTGCAAATGTGGTTGTATTAAAAAAGATCACTGTGTTTAACCCACAAAAATTGCTGCTGGGTTTGGAGATATACCCCTGAGGATCAATGACTGTCATCAAGCAAACCTAGTTAGACCACATCTGATACCCTTCAGCTCTAGAAAAGGAGGCTCACTCAAGAAATGTGCTGATCATTCAAATCATTTTTGACATATGCAATGAGTGGCAGATGGGGAAAAGTGCCTGCCTCTTCATCTTCTTAAACATCAAACAGCTTTGAGAAGACAACGGGTATTCCTGTTCAAAGCACAACGAAGAATTAATGAACACAAGAGAGAAGAGTTCTTTTTGAACTCACCACCCTTCTCTCTCTAAGTCCCCAGCAATCTAAATTATTGCATGTCTGAACTCTGTTCTGATGGTGCAAAAGGTTCTTTAGGCACAGGGAAGATCAATTTTTTCCTGAGAGTATAAGCTGGTTGGGGCATTTGTTTCCTCTCGCGCTGAGCATCGGCACGTTTGCTCACTTCTTCATTGACTTCTGTAAGAATGGATAATATATCTTCACCTCTAAAGAGAAGAAAAGGAACATCAACAAAATATCAATTCTTACTTTGCACTGACATTCGTATTATCACTGGATTATAAACTAATCTAATTACAAATCAGAAAGCACAAAATCAACTGTGTTCAGGCCTGGAGACAGATTCTTTAGCATGTTAGAAATTTCTTAGGACCCCAGCTTCTCTGCAATCAAGAATTTATCTTGTTTTATTTCCCCAAGAATAGAGCTTATTAGAGCCAGGATGGCATCGTGGCTAAGCTGTTGGGGAAAACTGGGAGACCCAGGCTGAGGGTTATTGTAGCTCTTTGGACTAGTCACATTCTCCCAGCTCACTCTGGCTGAAGGGAAATCCCTAACTCAGGCTAGACTGTGCTATCAGGATTTTGAGCTGGTGCATGAAGCCTATGAAAAGAAAATTTAAAATTGTGTGAAAAGCCCATTTAGAGTGGGCTAAGTGGCCTACTAACAGCTTACGAATCTATACTTGGTAGTTCATTCAGAACAGTCACTTTAAAGAGAAGGCTTCCACGTAACCTGAATCCTACCTTGGCACCAGGAGCTGCAACTTGCTGCAAAGAGCCTGAATGTACCAAGTCCCTTCATGGACATGTCGGAAAGAGAGATAGCCATCTACAGTGGCCATGCCAAGCAGGAAATCTGCTTCATCTGGAATACTTGAGGTGAGCTGCTGGGAAGACACAAATCCTGAACTCTGTGCATCTGGTTCAAATGAGGCATCTTCCTGGAGGAAGACTGGCTGCTGTGACTTTTCACCCTGACATGCCTGGATGAAGAAGAGCTTAGGTTTCTGAGCCAACAATGGGCAGTTGTTGGCTTTGAAGTATGAGGTGATGGCACGGATTGGAATCAGACATTCATCTGTCCCAAAAATTTTCCCAGATTTTCCATGAGACAGAATGCAGCATACCAGACAATCACTCTCTTTCCAGTCCTCAGAAAACTGCCAGAACTGCAAAAGTTTTCCAATTTCTGTGGAAGTCTGGTCGTCATACTTTTTCACTTTGAAGCCAAGCCAGGTGAACACACGTTTCAGCTCCACTGTTACAAAGAAATAAGGCAAAGAGTTTCATAAACTCTTCATAAAACCCATGTCGGTAAACACACAGTAAACGTGCCATTTACATGGCTCTAAATGACACAGAAAAGATATGCCAACAGTTTCTATTCCTGCATTTTTAGGATAAAACAGATTTGACAATTAGTAACAAAATGGTCTTTTTTTGGTAATCTACTAGGCTTATGACTGTGAGACAGCCCTTACTTGTTTACTTCTTTTTTTTTTTTTCAAATATAAATTTTTATTATTTTCATCATAAAAAAAAAGCACATCACAGATACATCACAGTGTAAAAACCCCTACCCCCCACCCCCCACCCGGACTTCCCAAACCTAATCCCAGAATACTATTCAACTAAAAGTAAACTAGTATTAATATCCCTAACTCCACAATTACTTGTTTACTTCTTATAAACATGCGATATATGCAGAAAATGAATAATGATCTGTATTGAAACTTAACAAGAGAGCCTATTGGCCCATTTCAATGGTCTGATGGAATTTGCGGAGGAGCTGTGGAATTGTAAACACCAGCCTGGTCCCTGACATCTCCGATCTTTCTTCACTGGACAGGAAGGACTTAAAGGTAGGCAGCCATGTGAAAAGATATACAAACTGTTCTCTAATGGCTATCGTCCTCCCTTAATCACTACAGCAGACATCTTGCTTATGCTCAGCATGAGGAGCAGAAGTAATAACACACAGGTAATCTTCACTTATTGACCATTGAGAGTTACAGCAGTGCTGAACAAGGAGACATACAATTGGTCCTCAAAGTTGTGGCCCCTACAGCATCCCTATAGTCGCGTGATTAGGATTTGAGCACTTGGCAATCAGTGCACATTTATGATTGCCGCAATGTCCCTCAGTCATAGAATTGCCATTTGTGTGCTTCACAGCTGGCCAGGAGAAAGAAGTTGCAGTCATATGACATTGTGTTTAATGACTTGTGATGATTTTCTTAACAACCGCAGCTGGAACCAACAAACTTTGTAAGTCAGGAAGCCATTTGACTTTTCACTTAACAACCACATCACTTAGTGACAGAATTGCTGGTTGCAATGACGGTTGGTGAGTCAGGATTATCTGTACTCTCTTTATGAGAAAGTTGATGGGAAAAAATTGCCACTCTCCACAATATTCATCGAAGCTGCAGTGTAAACGTTCCAATCCATGAAAACGGCAACTTAATTTTCATTTGCACATGTCAATTCTACTTATTTTCATTGAGCTAATCATCTCTCAGTGATAAAACCTTAGCCTGGCACCTTCTGTGGAATAAACGGGGAGATCTGGACACAGGTAGCAACAATAACTAAAAAACTTTTACAGCCCAAAACCACATAAAAGGTACATACTAGTAATCATTTGCTGCTCTGTAATGTTAAAGCACTTTATAGAAAGATATGGAAGCAATTAAAAAAAGAAAGGGGCCATTCCAATATAAACATTTATTTAAGCCACTTACTGGCATCTTTCTCAGATCCCTTCCTTTTTCTGAGGTTACCTTCAAAGTTGACATTGTTAATAATAAGACAATATCCTCTGTACTGCCCATCCATTTTATACTGATTCAATGTCTGCAGAATGAAGGACCGGAAAAAAGTATCAGACTTCTGTTTGTGAGATCTTAATAATATTAGCATTACCAAAAGTGACTGTGGATGGTATAGGGCAGGGGTAGGCAACCTTGGCTCTTTTATGACTCGTGGACTTCAACTCCCAGAATTCCTGAGCCAAGCTGGCTCAGGAATTCTGGGAGTTGAAGTTCACGAGTCATAAAAGAGCCAAGGTTGCCTACCCCTTGTATAGGGTAAGGGTTGCCCTTGAAGGACAGAGGGGACAGCCTCTTAGCAAGGGAATGATTTGACCAGCACATTCAGAGTTGCAAGATTCTATTACTACAGCTGTTCCAATAAAAATAGTTTTACATCTGTATGGCATTGCTTTCTTGGTCTGACTACCTTATACCTGACAGCTATAGACCCACTTAAAGATCAATGAATTTCAGTTGTTTTGCAACAGTGTCTGGAATCCTAACAAAATGTTCTTTGATTGAGACAGTCTGGTCTATGCCAGCTTCATTCCTCAATTGCTGGAAAACCAACTAGGATTTAACAGCAATCCTGCTAAGTCACACCAAAGGTATCATATCTTAATATTGGTGACTTTCAATTCTCTGCTCTTAATTACAGGCTTTGCACTCCAATGTTTGTCACAAACATCTAGCATGCAACATTCATTGCCTTTAAAATCAACACCACTATTACAACCTACAAACTGGACATCATTTTGTGTGTGAAGGACAAACTATCTCAGAGTCATCCAGATCATTTCTCTAATGACTCTAGTTTTCTTTAATTGCTTCTAGAAATGAGGCCTGAGTTGAAAACATGGCTATAGCTACACTGATGTCAGGTCCTCACAGATGAAGCAAAGTTGCAACAAGGTGGAGAGAGCAATAGATGATCTGTTGACCCGTTGCATTACAATTCTCATGAATCCTGGCTATTAAAACTTGTTTGCTGGGTCTAATGAGAATTGAAGTTCAATAGCATCTGAAGGGCTTCATATTGTCCATCATGTTGGAAAAGGATTTTTAAAAGTTAAGAATTGGCCAACATAAAAATATACTAAACAGCTAGATTTGGGGTAAATGTTGCTCCAATACATATACTGATTGATTGGAATACACGAGACACAATTCAGAAGATACAAACCACTGCTGCAGCACTCACATCAGTCTTCCTGACAGTTTGTTGCAATCCCTGTCCCAAGAAATTAAGCACAGGTTCTGCCTTGAGATCTAAAAAAATTACAAAGAAATAATTGGACTTAAAAAAGATTTATCTTATCTCAATTTAATCATTTGAGAGTAGAATACTGCAGACAATACAGGTAGTCCTTGAGTTGTGATCTTCCTTGCTGACTTCCTCATTGGCATTGCTTGTTGAAAGCTAGCAGAGAAGGTCTGAAATGATGATGTGGCCACGGGGTTCTGCAACCAATTGTAAGCACAAGCTACTTACTAAGCATGCAAATTTTGTTCATGGGACTGCATTGGTGCTACAGTGGCCAGAACTTCCAGGACTGGCTGGTACAGGTAGTCCTTGACTTATGACTGGTCACTTAGCAACTGTTCGAAGACACCCACCCAAAAGCTACTTACAACCTGGTTTTGACGTTACGGCTGCTGCAGCACCACCACAGTCATTCACCTATCTGTCCCCCAAACTGCACCCTCAGGCTTTGGGCCTGCCTCCTCTCCCTCCCCCCCCCCCCGGGGTCATAGAAGGGCTTGGGCTTCCTCCTTACCTCCCATTACACCCACTTATCTATTCAGAGTCAGGACCTCATACTGGGGGAGGAGGATAGGCCACTCTGTCCCTCAGCATCCCTGGGCCATGCAGCTATGTCCCAGAAGGGACCACGCTATTTCAGCATGGCCACAGCACTTTCCACAACGCAGACTGCATTAGGAAAGCACAGCAGATCACTTCGTTGGTGGGCTACACAACCACATCACATAAGCAATCACTATTTCAGTGTGATTGCCACAAGGAATTGTGACAAGACTTGAAGCGATGGCTGCTTCTGGGACACAGCTGCGCAGACCAGGGACTCTTTAAGGAATGGAATGTCTGCCCTCTTTTCCTGTGAGGTCCGGATCTCTGGAGATCCTCAATCGTCTGGTCTCTTTTGTATCCGTCCATCGAACCACTCCATGCTGGAATGCCCTTTTACTCCGCCCTCTCCTTTAGCTGCCAATCCTACCACATTAACAGATATAAAAATTCTGCTACCTTTCATGGCTTTTGGCAGTTCACAAAAGTATGAAATAAAAATAAAATATTCACAATACATTCTATTTGCATTTTAAAATAGATCACCGAACTATTAAAATGAGAAAACAAAAAGGGTCAGAGTACTGAAGTATCTTTTGGGGAAAAGCACACAAGTAATTGGATGTCGTCTGGATCAAAGCATCTCCCATCAGTTCCAATTAGCATGATCTAGATCAGGGGTAGGCAACCTTGGCTCTTTTATGACTCGTGGACTTCAACTCCCAGAATTCCTGAGCCAGCATAGCATAGCTGGCTCAGGAATTCTGGGAGTTGAAGTCCACGAGTCATAAAAGAGCCAAGGTTGCCTACCCCTGATCTAGAGTTATTATGTGATTTGTAGCCCAAATGATCATCTTATCTCTTGTCATAAAAGAATCACATAGAGACTTCTAAAAAAAGAATAGGAAAAAATCATAAAAAAGACTGCCCTAATGTCAGTCTCTGTGTGTAACATATAAATATGTTTTGATGAAGGTGTCAGGCAAGTGGATCAACCTCACGTCTCATTCTAAGAAAAGGCTCTTTGAAACATTAAAAGCAAGGCACCTTATCACTTCTTTCTACTCCCAGATCCCCTGACAAGAGTCTTAAGGCTCTCTGTATTTCCACCTTTCCTCATTTCTTCTACATCCAGATTGAGAAGGACACTGGATATATTTCCGTATTCTACTGTGGTGAAGTATGAAGTACTTCTAGTTTCATTCAATGCCAACCAGAGCACTTACTTATCTTAAAACTAGAGTTAAGCATAAAATGGGTCCCAGTCATATAAAACTTCTAAACCAACCTGGATTTTCAGCTAAAGAATAAACCATTCCAACGTGCTCTTCTAGGCTCCCAAACATTTCATTGTAAAGATGTTCTGAGAAGAAAAGGAAAATTCAGATATTTCTATTTATTTCCTAACGAACTAAATCCTCAACACGTGTGTCGAAACATGGTTCATGGTTAACTAAAAAATGGATTGCAAAATGTTGCCGACTAAGTCTGTTTTCCGTCATGGAAACTTGCCGTCTTACCCGTTAAAGGTTTTAATTTAGTTAAAGATCGGTCACTCACGTTTATCAATAAAGAAAAAATAAGTAAGTAAATTAAAGACAGTCTGCCCATCTCAATCAATGACTTTAATATAAATCTTATATTGGCAGTCCTCAACTTAAAACTATTCGTTTAGTGACCGCTTGAAGTTACAACGGCACTGAAAAAAGTGACTTATGACTGTTTTTCACACTTACAGCCACTGCAGCATCCCCATGGTCGCTTAGCAACTGGCATGTATTTAGGACAGTTGCCCTGTTTCAGGGTCATGTAATCAACACGTGTGACATTCCCAGCCAGCTTCCAAAAGCAAAGTCAATGGAGGGAGCCAGATTTGCTTAACAACGGCATAATTCACTTAAAAACTGCAGTGATTCACTTAACAATTGTAGCAAAAAAAGTTGCAAAATGAGGTAAAACTCAGTAACAGAAATTTTGGGCTCAGTTATGCTCATAATTCAACCTTTATTAACCATAGCTTATTTCCCATGTCAGATCCTTGTTTTCTTTCAGTGCATATCCCAGCCTATTGATTTCACAGCTGGGATGAGAAAACAAACATTAAAAGGGACCTCTGAGTATATTCCTAGTCCAGTGATGGCGAACCTTTTAGAGTCCGAGTGCCCAAACTGCAACCCAAAACCCACTTATGTATCGTCAGGTGCCGGGTGGGCGTGGCCCATTGGGTGGGTGTGGTCAATTTGGTGGGCATGGCCCATTGGATGGGCATGGCTGCAGTGGTAACGGCAGACTGGGTGGGACTAAAAAGTTCAATCAATCAATTCCAACTTTGCAAGATCTTTTTTTTTCCCGCGAGAAGTTGAAATTGACTGATTGATTGAAACTTTTTTTTTTTGTACATGGCGACGGAGGCCTAAAGCGAAAAGGTTTTATAAAACTCAGCTGAAGGCCTAGGACTGGGTCAACGGCGCGCGTGCCCACAGAGAGGGCTCCGAGTGCCACCTCTGGCACGCGTGCCATAGGTTCGCCACCACTGTCCTAGTCTGTCTAGGACAGTATGTAGAAAGCAGAACTGGACGTATTCTGGGCGCAACACATTATTCAAATGGCCTTTTAGAATAAAGACAGGTGACCGTTCTACCAGCGCTCTGGCAAAAGGGGCTGCATTCCTGTTCATCTGGCATAAACCTTGGTGGACCTATGACTCTACAT